CGGCACGAGAGGAGCCGCCCCTTGTCACAGGTCATCTCCTCCATCTCAACCACGCGAGCCTTTGCCGCCGAGCGGAGCGAGGAGGAGATCTACGGCCGAGGCATGAAGGCGTACCAGGAGTGCGTCGTCCGCACGGCGCGGCTGTGATCTCTCCCCATCTCTCCCCATCTCTCCCCATATCTCCCCATATCTCCCCATATCTCCGTCGTCCGCACGGCGCGGCTGTGCACGCGTGCCGCCTCCTCCTCCCGGGAGATGTGGGGAGATGTGGGGAGATGTGGGGAGATGTGGGGAGAGATGGGGAGAGATGGGGGCCGCTTCGTGCCGCGGAAGCAAGCCTGGCCTCCCCTACAGCCTCGGCTGTAGATCCCGTTGTAGTACGGGTAGGCGTCGATGACCTGCGCCTTCCTCCCGTACTGCGCGTACTGCCTCGTCCTCTACTACGGTATCTCCCCATATCTCCCCATATCTCCCCATATCTCCCCATATCTCCCGTACTGCGCGTACTGCCTCGTCCTCGACTACGGCGCGCCGCGATGTAGCCGGGATACAGCCGAGGCGTGGCCGAGATACAGACCTCGTCCTCTGCCACGGGCAGCCTCCACCCAGACACGCTGACCGGCACCGGCCCTCCCCCTCGCCCTCCCCCCGACCCCTCTCCCTCTCTGGGCCTCTTCCTCATATCAGGTGCGCAGCTCACGCAGACGCCTCCCGGCTGCGGCGCCGTCGGCGCGCACCCCCGCTGCTCCAGCGACGCCTCGCCTCAGCCCTCGGCGAACCTTCTCCGAGCCTTCCTAGGCGCGCCCCGCTGCTCCATCGACGCCTCCGGCCTCGTCTCGTTTGTCTTTTACATGCAGTCGCTCTTCGCCGCCTTCACCTCGATCGGCAACATCTACACCGCCCTCGCCCAGGCCGTGGGCGCGGCCGACAAGGTGCTCAAGTGGATCGAGCGGGAGCCGCAGCTGCCGCCGCAGCCGGAGCCTCTCGCCCCGCAAACTTGCCGCGGCGACCTCAAGCTGTGCGACATCCGCTTCCGGCGCGCCGCCGCGTGGGCCCGGTGCATGCGCCGCACCTCCAACCCCCCCCC